TCTTTCCCTGTATTCCCCTCCTTTCCCCGCCACCCCAAACAAAAACGAAAAACACTAGAATTTATTTATATGTATCGATGTTGTAGGTCTAGGTGAAAAAGAAAAAAAAGTAAATGTCTCACTGCTCTATTTATATATAACGTCTGGATTGTTCTGTACAGGGAAGGCCAGGAGATTGCATGTGACGTTCAGTGTATTCACCACCTCCGTGCGCCCTGAGCTGCGGTCTCGCCCCGCGCGAGGTGCGGGTTTTAAATTAGACTGGGGCAGAGGGCCACCTCGGCCTCCCGACACCCCAGCCCCTTCCTTGGTCTGATGAAGTGCAGTTGTTAGTGCAGAGACGTCCTAAGGTGCAATATCTTTCTTCCTTTCACGTGGCTTTCAAGCCAAGCTCAAGGTAATAGGACTTCGGGTCTTAACTTTGGTTTCAAACGCCCCATCCTCGGCTCAGATCCACACAGGCTTCTGCCAGGAAGCCAGAGGTCTGGGGTGGGAACAGGTGAAGCCTGGCACTTACTTTCTCTGCTGCCGAGGTGGGTGGGGGCCGTGGGGTTGCACCCTCTCGCCTTAGCCTGCCAACGCCGCCCTCCGAGCCTCACCCCGGCCATCGTGGTGTGCCTGTCGCTCAGCAGCCAGGGTGCAGGTGTGTCTGGCGCAGCGTCCACCTGCCGAGGACTTCTGCCAGCTGCATCCGGCCCGCCTTTCCTACCTGTTGCTTCCTCCCCCCTTTCTTCACATAGTTACTGTCTTCAAAGTTGGAGTTGATTGGACACTTCTGGCTGTAGGCACCTCGTGGGGGAAAACAAAGGAGGACTTTATTACATGGTCAAAAAAGTTGGTCCAGTTCCAGCTGGGGTTGCTCAGCCTCTTCTGGGGGTGCTGGGGCTTCCTTGCGTCACTCCTTCCAGCTGCGCTGCCGTCCTCCCATCTTCAATACCGCCTCCTGGGTGGGCGGAGAGGTCTGTGGGTGCCCCATGTTCAGAGCTCAGAGTTGGGGGGGCCGAGTCCCTGCCAAGCGGGGGCCTGGTGGCTCCAGTAAAGCCCCCTCCCCGGGTTCTGGTTCCCTCTGCCGCATAGTTGCATGTTGCCTCTCAAATCTTGATTTGTCCCAGATTTTCTGTTGGGACGGCCTCTGACAACCAAGGATACTCATGTGTGCTGTGTCCTGTTCTGTGACAAACAGGACACACAGACTTCAGAAAGGCAGCCCCTTGGGAAGGAGGACAGAACTGAGACAGGCGAGTCGCCTGGGACAGGAGCAGCCAGGCTCTTCTCCAGGGCCCCCCCGCACATAGTGCCCTTCCAGTTGCATGAGACCTGCCGTCCTCCGTTGCCTCTGCCCCAGTTCGGTGGCCTCCAAGATGGTGCAGTGTCCCCAGGGCTCGCTCTTCAGCATGTCATGAAGCCTCGGAGTGGAAGTTCCTGCCAGGCGCTGTATGGATGGCTTCCTGCTGTCGTTTAAGGGGACCTTACCCAAGCTTTTGGCTTCATGCCTTGTGTAGTTAAAAGGATTGGGGGTTTTTTTGTTGTTGTTTGGAGAGGGTTGTGTTTTGTTTCGTTCCGTTCCGTTTTTATTTCGGCCTTTCCTCTTTGTCTTTTCACATAGACCAGATATTTGAAAGGGCAGACGATGGCGGCGTGCGGCTCGTGGTGCATCCTTTCGGGGAGGCGTCTACCTCGGATGGGAAGCGGAGCGTGCCGTCCTCAGGCCCGTGCGGTTCGCACCTGCGCCCTTTCCCTCCGGTTCAGAACCTATTGTTTCTCCTTTCAAATATGTGATTGTACTAGCTCTTTCCATATGAAAGAATTCTCCTTATTTAAATAAAAAAAAGGTTTAAAAAAATAAAGCTGAACATGCTTTCTGAGGCTGTGCCCTTCCTGTCTCGGTCACGGACTGGGGACCTACAAGTGGAAAATCTAGCTGTGGACACAGGAACGAATGGGGGCAAAGGAGAGGTGGGAACCTGTGGTGAGTCCCCTCCGCGCCCGGCCTGGCCTCACGTGAGAAATGGGTGGAATGTTCTTTTGCAGGAAGTAGGAGAGAGTTACGCTAGGCCTTGGGGTGGGGGTGGGGACAGAGCAAGCCAGGCCCATGGCAGTGGTGGGTCAGGAATACTTCTGCTTGTTCGAGGGCATGTGTGTGTCGGAGAGGGAGAAAGCTCTCCACAATGGGGCATGGTCACCGTGGTCTCTTCCATTTCTCCATCCGGTTGGGGTTTTGGGTGTACACACACACAAGCCTGGTGTCTTTTTTTCGAACTGCCAGGACCAGGATTCAGCCGTTCAGCCGCGTGAGCTCTGGCTGGCTTTCCCAGCAGGCTATGGGGCCAGCCCGGCTGAAGCTAAGATAGGCAGTAGTTCTTGGCTCTGCCACTGCCTAGCTCCACGACGCTGGGGAAGGCAGGC